TTTCAAACGTCGAAATCTTCGAATCATATACGTCGAAGAGAGTTGCCCCGGTACACGTTTCAGGGGCTCATTCACAGGTGTATGTGGGCTTCTTCCAAGTTCCATCACACCTCCCGATCCCGTCACTCATCAGATGTAGTCCTCCACAAGATTGCTTTCCAATACTACCCTCTCGATCTCAACGCAACCACAAATCCCTTTCTTGTGTCTTGGTGGCCACTCGCCCTCGGTGACCCAGCTTTGTTCCATGTCTCTCTTCAAACAGCATGTCTAGATGAGGAACTCCTCGCCCAAAAGGGGTTCCACAACTCCGAGATCCTCATGGCCGACTCCGTCGCGTTACTTCGGCGGAAAGTTGAGAACGAGTCTCTGGCTGTACAGGACGGGACCATGAACTCGGTCATCACTCTGGCAACCATCGAGGTCCGTGAGTCCCTCGTTAAACCTTGCGGTTCCTCATAAATAACACCCTCCCCAGTTTGGCAAAGGCAATATCCAACTCGCCAAAATGCATGTTGACGGGGTAAAGCGGTTGGTCGGGTTAAAGGGGCGGCATCAACTCGGTGAGGCAAACTAGCCCGCTCACGGCGAAGGATGGTCAGCTGGTAAGTACCAAACCAAGTAACTTCGCTCCGCTAACAAGATGGCAATACTTACACGCGCCAGGGTGTCAATGCTCATCATGGGCCATCCCCAGTTCGACACACAAGATGATATGGGCACTGGACACGGCATCCCCCCCTACCCCAGAATGGCAGTTGAGCTTGAATGCCACCCATGAGGCTCCTCCCGAACTGACCCTCCTTGAAATCGACGAAGACGTCAAGGAGGTTTTTATTCGTCTACGCAGTGTCTTCCAGAGGGCACAGCAGACACCGTTTACATCTACCCGACTCCATGACCTGGCGGGCTTCGTCATACACCGGCTACTACCTTCGGCTCAAGATATGGCAAACGAAACAGAGCCACTGACCGAATGCGCGCGCTACGCAATCATTCTCTACATGTTCATCATGCAGGGCCCAACCTACTTTACGCACGTAGTAATATTCAACCAGATCCTTGGTCGCTTTGCCGGGCATCTACAACGGCGAGGACACGACGCCCAAGACACGCAAGACCCGATTAATGTTTGGTTTCTCGCGGTTGGGATGGTGGCATCCACCGGAACTCCTCATTACGCGTGGTTCAGGGACACGGCAAGGGCCATAGCCGTACCATTACAGCTGAGGACTTGGGATGATGCCTCAAATCACATCAAGAACATGTTGTGGCTGGAGACACGGCAGGGCGAAGGCATCTTTCGCCCGCATTGGGATGCCATTTTCGACGGGACGGACTCCCCACAGCCGTCATGTCTGACAGTCCATAGGTCACCAAACATTCCCAACGCAGCGTTTATATGATAAAGATTCTCACAAGACCGTAAATTCGAGGAACCCATACCAATAACTGGGTGAATCTTAGTTCTATTTTGACAAACCAGATGATTTAAGGAAATTTCCAGTCAAACTCCCGAACAGAAGCCCGCCAATCACCCCCACAGAACTTGGTTGACTCGAGCGCACCACTCTCCCCTTCCTCCCGTAGCCTCGACACCCTCACCAGCTCCGGGCCCGGCACGCCACGCCCAACCATGTCCACCGAAACCCGAAACTCGGGCTCCTCCTCGCCATACAATACCCCCCGATCCTCCACCCACTGGAACAGGCATGATCCGCACCCGCTCCTCACCCCAAACGTATTCAGCTCCACCAGCTCACAGCTCTCCGACTCCTCGTCATACAACAAGTCAAAACGAAAACCCCTGCTCCATCATCAACCGATCCAGCCGATCCCCCCTGCTCTCCACCACCCCCAAGATCATCCCCGTCACCTCCTCCGCCGGCCCTCACCAGCCCCCGCACCAACCTCTCCTTCTCCTCCACAATCCACCCGCTGGAAACCGCCACGGCATATACCACCTATACTGACTGAACCCCGAACACCCATCCCCTCCCCAGGGACAACAAAAAAACCCAATACTCCCTCTCACTAACGCGCATCCTCCCATCAAACCGCAAAAAGAACAACTCCACC